CCCCCCCCCCCCCCCCCCCACCTCCCCTCAGGTTGAGAAAATACTTCCCTCTCATTGGATCTTTCCTACTCCAATTTTTTTTCTCAACGGTAGGGGAACTTGGCGTGCTTTCAAGATAACAAACTTAAAGGTTAATTTTTCAATATTGATGAAACGTGACCTAATTCATCTACGCTTGAGCTCTGCCCAATCTTGTGCGCTTTGGCTATTGAGATGTTCACACAAAGACCTTTTCGAGACTTTTCGGCTTCATTATTGCATTTTGATCGGATTATCTTTGTTATTGATGTCTATTGTAATTTTATTTAATATCTATTCAGATTTTTCACAGTGTTTCAGTATTTTTTTTCAACGAAAGCTTCGTCAGAGATGCAAATTTGACTAGCAGAGTTCTACGTAACTCTTATGAACTTTAGAAACTTGCCTTCCACAGTAATATTCACATTGCTTTTGCAGTTTTTCTGAGAAAAGTTGTCAGATTTTCCTGGAAAAGTAGCAAATGTTGAAATCGTGAAAAGGCTCAACTAAAGACATGTTTACATTGGAATGACCTTTTTGTGCGTAAAGCATCTGCAGAGGCCTTCTCCCCACAATGGAGATTTTCTCTCTACAATTCTTGATTAGAAACAAGTACAGCGAGCAAGCGAAAGGGGTTGTATTTGAACGTAATAGCATAGCACTGGGAAACGACAAGTACTGATCAAAAGATGTGTACTCACTCGAAATACCGAAATAGGACAGCCCACAATCATGCCATTTCGGGTTTTTATTATACATTTCCGCTTTAAGCTGGCAGAAATTCAAAAGCTAGCGCATAAAAACTTCAAGCAGTGCCAAAACAAAAAAGACTGAGATTTGTCGGTGAAACCCTGCCTGAAAATCATAGGGAAGTGAATTACTGAATTATATTAAACACGTTGAAAAAAAACGACGGGATGACTTATCAACCAGTTTTTGAAGTAATATGGCGCCATTTCTTGTGGAAAAAATTTATACAGACGAAAGAACAGGGGCGTACCAAGATGTAAGTGTTTGGAGGGCTCGATTGGATTCCATCCCTGAAGGTGTGTTTATGATCGGGGACGTTGCATTTGGAGCGTTTACTTCCAGTTTTCCACGAAACGCTGTGGTTCTGGTGAAGCCCTTGATCAAGTATGACCATCTTGGTGAAATCATCAAACCGCCATCTTCCTACGAGGAAATTTGGACCGACGAGGGCTCCGGGGGTAGACAAGACGGCTCTTTTTGGCGAGTACATGCTCCTCCAGGCTTTGTGGCCCTAGGCGATGTGGCTTGCAATAACTGGTCTCAGCCGACCCCTGAATTTACCGCCAAGTATGCCTGCATCCGACAAGATTTACTTTCTGCTGATGCTGAACTGTCTTCCACAGCTTTATGGAACGACAGTGGCTCCGGAGCAAAGTGACATGTTTCACTCTGGCCCGTGCAAGGTTATTACCAGCCAACTGGATGTTTTAAAGCCCATAGAGCATACAACAAACCATCTTTGGAAGTGTACACGCTACCAATTGCCAAGATATACAGTAAGGAATGCTCCAATAACTAACAGTTGAAGAAGTAAAATTATTGACGTCACTAAAGATTCTGAATCTTGTATAGGTCTTCGTTAAATCTCGTTGATTACGCATGTATCTGCAATAATGTGTCAGAAGAACCGACTGCAATTAACGCTTAAAAGAATCATAGAAGCTGTATTACTGTATAAAAGCATGTGATTATAGATAAAATAAATATGACTACAGTTTCTTCTCAAGAACATCGAATTTGTCGACGCTTTGTAGTCTTTCGAATTTGTTAAAAACTTGTGTGAGCACGGAAACCATTAGCGTCATTTAATGTTCGCTTTGGATATACAGTTCGTTAAAATCTTCTTAATTTCACAGTGAAGAGTTTCATAGCACTCTAGTATTCAGCTACTACATCATAGCATCACAAACGAAGCCATTTTTACCTTGAATTTGAAGCTGATCGCTCGCTACTAACTGCATGAATCAGTGTAATGTAAGCTAAAACCCTAAGTGTGCTCACTGAGACATCAATAAACCAAACACAGACCTTTTTAAGAATATAACCAGACTCGTATCATCTCTTGTATGGATTGATTATGAGCTTCAACCGATAGCTAACCAAAAGAAAGGCTATTTCTTTGTCACAGACTGAAACCTTCGTTTAAAATTCGTTGAACAACCAATACTTTCGGGTTTGACTTGAGACACAAACATTACACTGATTGGTGACTTCCGGCATTTCTCGGAATTTCCGATCATTTCCTTTTTCTTTCCTTTTTTTTTTCGACCAATTAAAATCATGTCTGTTTTGTTACTCTGAGAGCTAGGAACTAAACCAAGGTAATTTAATCTCTGATAGTTTGAAAAGCTAGTAAAGTTAGCTTTACATCTCCTATGATAGTAAGGAGCGCCTTTCGATGTAGTGTCGCAACACTGTAATCAAAATAATCACCACTTTCAGGAGAAACAAAGGCAAATGGACGCGCTATATCGTGTATTACTTTCGAACCTCGAATGACTGATTAAAGCAACGTGTCGAAGCGCCAAATAACACTTTTCACTTCGTCCTCAAAAATCAGTTATATAAAGGTTTTCTAAGGGGCTCATTGTGGTGTATACAGAGGAGAGTCGGGGAAAGGAGGGGGCTGCACCCCCCTTCCCACACCTTACCTTTTTCACTACTAGTTTGACAACAAGCTTTAAACAACGAACAGATCGCTTATACAACTCTAGTGGCTGATGTTTTTCATGCAGCCGCGAGTGAGGGAGGCGGACAGGCGTGTTCGCTCAAAGGAGTATTTTGGGCCCCAAGTGGCTTCAATATTCATACGATGATCGAAAAGTAAAGGGTGAATTTGTATAACGCGTATGTCATATGTCAATGAGAAAATACAATTAAGAACATGTAGTTGGGAACATTGATTCAAAAAAAAGAAGACAGAAGTACTCCACCAACCAAAGCCGAGGTCTCCGTACGTAGCTCCCAATATCCACATTGATGAACATCCACTAGAGTGGTACAAAAATTCACATACCTTGGAAGCATCATCACGAACGATCGAACATCGGCAAAAGATGTTGAGAATGAGATGTCCAAAGCTAGAGGCACATTTTGTCGTCTGCAAAAACGAGTATGTGAAAACCATTCTCTTCGACTCTCCTAAAATTCTGGTATATAGGGCTGTTGTCATCAATACCCTCCTGTACGGCATTGAGGCATGGGTACTGTGGAGAGACAAATCAAACCCCAAGATCAGTATCACCAAAGTTAACGCTGCCTCCGCTCCATCATGAACATTAGATGGCAGGAAGCATAAGAACAGGATTCAACAGGACCTACCTTCTTGTGCCCTAGATGTCCTAGAACCTGCCTATCGAGAATAGGACTGATAAGTCATTTGAGGGCGCCCCGCCCTCCCCTGGCGGGACCTTACACAACTGATCATCGGATACGTGTTTATGTTCAATTGCTAGAATAAATTCGGCATGATGGCACGATGCCTGCACTATGTCACTGTGCTGGCATTATGCTCGATCCTCCGACTATAGCATTTCCCCAACATTATGACGGCAAGATTTATCTGAGCCTAGTCTCGAGACTTTCTCAGCCACAGCGTCAGAAAGCCAATCTTCGTTATCAGAAGTTTAATTGAGTATTGCTGCATGTCCGAATTGTCGCTGTTTTGTTGATAACATTCTTTACGCCTTTTAATAGCTTATGTACTAAAGTATTAGTTTTCTACAATTATACTCCGCGCCTTGTTGAAAATGCTTACTTTCTTTGGATCATGCTGAACACAGGTAAGCACAGGAAGTGCGTTTCAATTGGGGGAAACGTGCTACTTGTATTTCATGCACCTTTATAATCTTATGCTCCCACACAATATCCTTGGTTCAGATACTGCGTCGATCACTTTGAGGCTTCAACATCTCACCCCCGGGTAACCCACGGGCATTTGACTGTCGTCTGTGCCGTAAGGGGGGGGGTGGGGGTGGGAATTTTGAACTTGTCTTGCTGAGGTGAGGAATTTGAGCTGGAAGTGTCAAGCCTTTCTCGCAGAAAACACGTGTTTTATCTTAAATATTCAGGTAGTCGGGCAAAAGAAGAAGGGCTGAAAAGAAAAAGTCTACAAGATCTAGGTTTTAAGGCTTGATCAGTAAGTAAAAAGTTAAAGTCGCTGATTTTGCCTTTTACAGAAAAATTGATCGTTGAATTCGATACTTGGGTAGGGCATTTGATCACAGTTTACTCACACTTGTTTCCAACTAGGACTAAATGCAAAAATCCGGATGTTTTAGGATTATTTTAGAGACCAACAAGATTTTTAAAACATTGAGGATTTTTTAGAACATTTAGGAATTTTTAGACGACAATGTTCAAAAACATACAACCGAGAGAATGAAAACAAATTTGTTGGTTTTTCTTCCATTGTTTCCGAGCGGGCTCCATGAAACTGTCAAACTCTGCTCACCGTTTATAGTCGTTACTGTTTGTTTGAAAGAGGAATATGTTAAGAGACTAAGCTGACGAACCACTTAAAACATTGTCAAGAAAACAAACGGATCTTTTTTAATCAGTTTGAAGGTGCTTCCACGCAGTTTTACCACAGGAACCTCGCATTTTATGTGATGTTTATGTTTATATTTTTTTTGTTTCAAAAATCGGGATTTTTAGAGAAAATTTCGAGATTTTAAGAGACAACAATGAGATTTATTGGCATTTTTTGGAGAAATTCCGGATGAGTTTTAGGCCATTTTTCAGGATTTTTGGATCTAAGGCCCTCTCCGCACTAGAGGCCAAAGTACAGTTGTCTCGACAGAATCAAAAGACAATTGTTATCAAAAATTTTTGTTTCGTCTGTTGCATCCGCATTAAAAGTTTCAAAGCCGTCAAATTCCATCAGCGCCTGATCTGTTCATAAGACCAGCCAGTATAGTTTTTGGCACAGAATTCCACCTCCAGTCTACAGTATTTATCCTTAGTCGTTTTAAAATTTTAGAATCTCCGAATTTTGCCACAAAAGACATTTTTTTCCTTTCTATGAAACTGATTTTAATTCAATTACACGCTGGTGGTAGCTTTTACGACGAATGATTGACAAGTTTAGCACGGCTTTGCTTCTTCAGTCGATTTTGTCAAATTTTTACCCGGCCCGGGAAAAATTTTGTCGGCGTGTTCTTATGATTTGTCCGCTCCGGCCAAAATTTGTCAAGTCGCGACAAGCAACCGCACTTACAAAATTTTGGTGATGACAGAAAACTTTTTCGCTAGTGCGGAAAGGCCCTATGTCTATCTCCCACAGTCCAGTACATTTCAATGTGAATCGCTGGTGCGTACCCAAGCGTTAAACTGGTTATTAAAAATATAATGTATCTCATTGGCATATAACGAACGAGTTAGACGAATTTACTAATACGCGTTGACGAGTCCTTTTTGTTCACTTGCCTTTGTTTCGATTGACCGTTGTAATTACTTTGGCTATAGTATTGCGACACTCAATATAGAAATGCGGTCCTTGTCATCATACGGAAGGCATGAAAAGCATTAGAATTGTAGATCAATAAACTCTATTTACTCTTTACACTTTTAAAAATTGGCATTTAAGACTGCAGCTGCATATGGCGACTGATGTAGCACAATTTTTTATGGCATTGAAAAGAACCAAGGGTTGTACGATGATGCTAGAAGATAGCGTTGCAAAAGATTTGTCTCGGATGCAAAACAGAAATCCTCTCCTAAGCATTCCACATACTTATGAGAGCCCTGTTCCACCGCAAGAGAAATATGACTCAAGAAAATAGCGAGTAATTATCACACAGCTACTAATTAAATGGTGACTAATAATCGTATTAATAATAACAATAATAATATTAATCATAATGAGGATGATAATGGAAGTACTTGTAATGATAACTTCTAGCTCAAGAACCTCACTGTTTCTCTGTCGGTTTATCCCTGTTTAGCTCAACGTCGTTGCTCGCTTCGCAAATCTAGCGGCTCTTCTGAGCATTTGTCGCTGATTGAAATGGTAAAATTACCTTTTTTCGAATAAATAAAATTTGTCTTCAAAGTTTCCACGATGTGTAGATCAAACCTATTTAGATAGTTCTGCAAGGAAAAAGTCTTTATTTCTATTACGTGCCGAGACGCCACTGTGAACTATTTTGAGATGTTTATCATCTACCGTAGAGTCACAGTTAGAACAGAAAAATTATATCTTCGGATCTACTGGGAATAATTCGCTGATTCGAACGTTAAAATGATCCCTCTTTGACGAAAAAAATTTTCCTCTAAATTTTCATGATGCGCCGATCACTCCTTTTGAGACATTTCTGCAAAGTGGAGCTTTGTTTTCTCACGCGCCATTCTGAAATGATTGTGAAATGTTTATCGTCTTCTGTAGCCACTACGAAACAAACAATTGGCAGGTGATCACAGAGTGTCACCTGCCAATATTCCGTGAAACATTCGAAGCGATTCGAAGCGATTCGAAGAAATCGTCATTAGGCGTTGAACGACCGAAGATGTTCAGAAACAAACGAAAGCCAAGAGCGAGGAATATTGGGTAAAACTCGGCCGACTTCGTTGTGAACGAATAGGTCGTTTGTAGTCTATTGTTACTCACTCACTCTTCAGGACAACATTGTGGCTTCGCTTTCATAGGAGGCAGTAGTCAAAAATAATTAAATTCCCTTGGTTTAGATCTTCTCGAAGGTAACAAAACGAACATGATTTAACTCCACCGAATAAAAACATATCAGCCGATGATGAAATTTAAAACCAAAGTAAAAGGAGCGGAAATGATTGAGAATTCCGAGAAATACCGGAGAATTTCGAGAAATACCGGAAGTGAGTTATCACTGTAAGGAAACGCAAGGCGACTTTTACCTAGGAAAGAGCCTTGCTTTTGGTTAGCTCTCAGTTGAGACTCATTATTGAGCCATAAAATAAGTAGGAAATAGATCAGTATTTGGTTTATTGATATCTCAGTGAAAACAACGAGGCTTTTACCTTACATTTCCCAGGCCCAGTCGTAATCATTCATGGAGTAGCCAACGTTCAGCTTCAAATTCAAGATAACAAAGGCTTTATTTGTGATCGATACTATGATGCATATGCATAATTGAGAAAAATCTAAGGAACTGCACATCTAAAGCGAACATTAAACAACGAACATTAAACAACGAACGTTAAACATTTCTTGTTTACTTAAAGAGCTACCCGCAGATTCTAAAGTCCAACTAAGCGAAGTTAAGTGTTTCTGAGCAAATTTAAGTTTCCTGTTTTCCTATCTAGTTATCCTAGCTATCCAAGGTCATTTAACAATAAAACAACTTCTGTAATTCTTTTAAAAACGCCATTGCATTTGGTTCCTTTAAAGAATAACAAGTGCGGATACATGCTTAATCAAAAACGTTTGACAAAGATGAAAACACCTTTGAGATAAAGAATCCTCAACGAAGTCACTAGTTGCACTTCCTTCATCGATCTAAAAGTTAGAAGTAGTTCAGATTATTAGCGCACTCCTTCCTGTATATCTTGGCGACTGGTAGAGTGAATACTTCCAAATTTGGTTTCTGGTGAGCTTTATGAGCTTTAAAACATCCAGTCGGCTGGTAATAGCCTCGGACGGTCCACAGTGACACATCTCGCTGTGCTCCAGAGCCCTTATCGGTCCACAAAGCGGGGGAAGACAGCTCAGCATGGGCAGAAAGCAAATCTTTTCGGATGCAGGCATACTTAGCGGTAAATTCAGAGGTAGGCTGAGAATAGTTATTGCATGCCACATCACCCAAGGCCGCAAAGCCTGGAGGAGCATGCACTCGCCAAAAGGAGCCATCCTGTCGACCCCCGGACCCCTTGTCGGTCCAAATTTCCTCGTAGGAGCATGGAGGTTTGATAATCTCGCCAAGATGGTCGTACTTGAACAAGGGCTTCACCAGAACCACAGCGTGTAGAGGAAAGGAAGACGTATGCGCTCCAAATGCAACATCCCCGATCATATAAACACCTTGAGGGATGGAATCCATTCGAGCCCTCCACACATTTACGTCTTGCTGCGCTCCTGTTCCCTCGTCCCCATAAATTTTTTCCACTGAAACTGGTGCCATAACTTCAAAAATTGCCTGCTGATTCATTGTAACGTTTCTTTGTCAACGTTTTACAAAATAACACTACACTTCGCTTATGACTAATTCAAAGTTGTTTGCTTAGTTGCCAGGCCTTTAATTTGGAGTGAGGTTGAAGGTGACCCTGATGTACGTGTAGAGGCCAGTATTTAGTTAGCATGATAACAAGGTAATTTACATTGGAAATAGGGTAAGAGAGATGCTAAGTTTTGAGCTCGGTAAAGAAATAGAGAAAGGTGTTTTTCGTCTTTTCACGAGCGTGGGACAAAGAAAATAATTCCGAGTCCCCATGATGAATCGAACCCCAGACCTGCGATGCTTTACTACTGAGCCACATATCGACTTTGCTGATCTTAGCTGTATGCAGGACGCGTGTCATATGACCGTCTGTGGCTCAGTGGTCGAGTATCGGAGCGCGGAATCCGGAATCCGGAATCTGGAATCTGAGGTTCGATTCCTCATGGGAACTCAAAATTTTTTTCTTTTTCCAAGAAAAACATCTTTCTTTATATTGGAAAGCAGCAACAAGGTCATATTTAGCCAACACTACGGTCAACTGATTGTTCAAGCGCAAGCGCACTCAGATGGATAATTTGTTATTGTAAACATGAACAATCTATGTAAGACGTATTTTTTCGCAGTTTCTAAGCAAAGTTCAACGTTTCTAAGGCCGAGATTTATACAAATTGATGTTCTCAAATTTACTCACTTTGAGTTAGTTTACATTCTCGTACTTTTTCTGACACTTTGCACGGAGGCGTAGTTATAATGAAGTCGTCCCTAAGCTTGGCCGTGCTGGCTATAGTTTTTCTTGGTTGTGTTTATGGTGGAGTTGCCGTTAAAAAACCGAGGGCAATGTGTGAAGAAAGGAAGAATCAGAGCCACACAAGATATTTGTGACGATAGTAGATCCATGTTTACAGCAAACGGTAGATTTTGCACCAAGGGTAGAAG